GTGAGTAGAAAATGAAGGCTAATCATGTTTTGGGTGTACTATTCCTTTAATATAATATCAGAGGTCGCAGCACATTAAAGCAGTGGAGACTTCTACTCTGCCATTTTCTCTCAAATCGCACAACCCCAACGGGAAAACAACCCCACCCTACGCTTCTATTCAGAATTATGTTAAATGCTGACAGGGATGCTGGGTAACGGACAATGTTTGCGTCACTCTCACAGGGATGAGAAATAAAGCAAAGAATCTCTGATGTCTAACTCTCTGCACCATCATTCCTCTACCGCGTCTGTTCTGGTTCTGTTTAATTAACAAACCAGCCAGAGTTCTGTTACTAAACCTCCATTCATCTCCTCTGTCTGTGTCCAACTGTTCGGTCCTCCCCTCCATCCCCTCGCGGTTAAGCCACGCCTCCACCCTGAAACCCGGGTCCCGTGCGTCTCTCACATGACGCCATTGTGGTTCTTCAGGAATTCTGGCAGTTATGTCACTTGGAACAATGTTGAGAGAGGACCAGATTGCAGCCGGTGCTGCAGCTTGTTAGCGTGCATGCAAGCAGGCTACATGGCAGCGTGTGTACGTTTCTGCGGCTGTCTGAGTGATTGAATGCTCCGAGTGTTTGCATGACTATCCAGAGACGTTCTTCATCTTCATAGTGTTTTTCTAGCAGTGTGTCTGACAGCATAACCAGGTACTGTATCCTAGCTGACCTCAGTGAGAGCTCCTGATGACTTAAACAGCAGCATCAGATCTTCTCTGTGTCCTTTCTTCTAATCCTAGCTTAGTACAGTTGCTGTTTAACAAGATGCATCAGAGTTCAGTTTAGAGGTTCATAAATGAGAGGATCACAGTTAGAGTTCATCCAGAGCCACAGATTCATTTCACTTCCTGCTTCTTTTTTTTTATTCCTCTGACGCTGTTGCTTCGACTATGAAGGGCCTCACGTCTTTCATGAAACCAGAACATATCAAAGACATTCCAGGATATGCTGAAAGGTCACATGAAGGTGTAGAGTTTAAAATGCTTCCTTAGAACTGGCATTTCATTGAGCTAATGATCTGAATCTGATCAACAAGATCTCTTTAATATTCCAAGTTCCAAATCGGCGTCCGACACATTGTTGTGTCTTCGCAAGTTGTGCTCCATACAAAACCTTCTGACACTCATTCCCGAGTAATGTGGAGCTCCATGGCGGCTCAAAGCATCACTGATGAGTGTTTTTCCTCTCTTAAAAAGTTCGATAATCAATGCAGAAAATGCTTCAAGTGCAGCCATTGCCTTTTGTTTTAGAAATAGTTTGTTTGATGCCGTCTTCATCCGCTGTAAATTATTTTTCTTTGGCGACTTACTTCATTTCCGGTACCGCTACATATTAAAACAACAGCCGTACTTTATTTTCATTTAGATGGCAAAACAAAACTCAAACGCTGTTGATTTTCTATAAATTCGATTTTTCATTTTAAAAAACGGAAAAACAGAAAAACCACATGCTTGTTTTGTTTTTTCGTTTTTGTTTTGAAACGAAAAAAACCAAAGAACGAACCAAAAAAAGACTCCATCAACGCAACTTCAGTTGATCCTCCCTAAGATGCAAAAAGGCTAATTTCCTTTATCATTTTGGCTGCAGTCAGTCATCATTCTCTATTCCTTCCTCTCTGGCAGCTTCTTACTCTTTCCTTTCTCTCTTACTCTTCTTAAAGCAACCTTAAAGTCCTTATGGAAGTTGGGTGCTGGAAGTAGTTAAAGGATTTATAGAACCTAAAACAGCCTTTTCCCCCTGAAGCTAAAGTGAATTATTATTCGTCTCGTTGGCTCGGTTTTACTGAAAAACATTATTTATTGTCATAATATCTTGGTGCAAGTAGTGAAATCATGTCTGGAAAAGTGGATTTGCTGTTCATTTAGCCCGGCTTGTGTTTGGCAACATCTGAGAACATCTCTGCTGTGGCTCCAAGGTCTCATCCCTCGCTAATAACTCTCTGTTTGATCAAACGGGTTCGAATTCATAATTCCTCACTTTTCCCTTCCTGCTTTTCTCTGGGATTTAGTCCCTTGAATGTAAAGGCAACTATAGGGTCCGTCTGAAGGGTTGAACATACTTCCTCTTCTTATTTGACCACAAACACTCTTTACAGCTTGAAATCCGATCCAGATGAACAAAACCGTTTTTTCTCTTTGTTTAAAGC